TATATACCCGTAAAGCGATGTAGCAGTATATAGGTGTCAAATAATGACATGAAGCTGCATCTGCACAAATTAACGCCCGACACAGAACAGTGACTTACAGCCATAAAAGCAACAGCTAGTCATATAAACATATCTACCCAGGTAGCATCCAATCTCATATACTAAGCCAAGCAGAAATATGATAGATGAAAAACCTTTCTTCTTACATAAAATGTTGACTAGAACGCACTTCTACTCGACATCCTATGCATACTGTCACCCGATACTTACTGCTCAGGCTTTTCACTATTTTCTCCTGGCTCTCAGTCAGCTCGGTCTGAGCGCCTCTTTTCTCTGCAGGTTGCGCCATCATGTGTCTACGTGTGTGTATTTGCAAGTATATACTAACATAAACGTCGAACAATACAGACGCCTTTCTTTTAACTAAAAAATCGCCTACTAACCGGGGTCAGAATTTTTGGGCAGGGCAGTTTTGTTTAAATGCGGAAATAGGCCAAAGCATAATTTATCACTCGAGACGGATTAATCACACACTTCTGATCAAATGTTGTTTTTACACCATGTTCATAGCACCAATACTTCACGAGTTATTAGCATGCCCGTTCCAGAGGGTAGGTCGGATTTGTGGCGGGTGAAAAACACGATTGTGACATGCTAGCAAGGTCAAAGAAGCATCCAAGTGTGTTATATATCGCTCATAAGGTGTATGGTAGGGTCACATAAGCCCTTGATAGCATAGAACAACGATAACAGGTGGTCACGTTGCGGAATGATGTAATGACCATCGATTGATGCATGCATTGAATTGACTTTATTCGGAGGTTAGTGGCGATATGACGGCCTGTGGTTGCATACTCCAGGATGTGTGCGACGAATGCACATGCAATTGTAAACGAGGACGTTGTTCAGTGTGTAATAGCGCGTGCAAGTAGTGTAAGTGTGCTTGCAACGGTACGAATGGCGCAAGGAAACGTGGTCGTCAGAAGGGATTCACCAAGGTAGTAGGCGAGGTGCAGCGTACTTCATCAGGACGCACATCAGCTAAGAGAGCACGTTTAGATATTGCGGAGAGTATACGTGCGCTTGATACTCCATCACGTGCTAAGAATGCGCCAAGTAAGACATACACACACTCTGAAAGTCAAAACTTTGTCACAATCAGCACGAATAGTAACGAAAGTCTAAATACAATAGTAGATATCTCACTGACATTTGGATGGAGTCGTAACAGTAGAAAGGCCTTGCCTAGTACAGAATTACGTACCAACATCACTGAAATCCAAAGAACACGCCCAAATGGCTGGAGTTGCATGTCTCAAATTGTGCTCAAGGCTGCTACCCGTGTAGCAACATAGTATATCCAGCAGATGCAGATGCTTTGTTGCGTGACATCGCAAGCTCTCTCGGTGCTGCAAGCAATCCATCTGAAGACGTTAATAAACTCCCTGGTGGGCGAGTATTGAACTGTCTTGTAGATGTATATAATAGAGCCCCCAAAAACTTTATACAAAAGAGGGTTGTACGGGCTGTACTAGTTAAAGCACTAACTAGGAAAGATTCGCCTGGTTCAATGCTTTCACAACTAAAATTAATGTATCCTGGACGATACTCTCTACCTAACGAAATGGATATACGGACGCTGATATCTACGTCAACAAGCGCGAAGAAAGCAGCGGATGCTAAGCGGAAGACAGAGATAGCGCAAGCGGAGAAGGAGGCTCTAGCGATGGCAGCCGCTGCTGCGAGAGGTGAGGAGTACGTTCCCGCTGCAGGCAAGAAGGCGCGCAAGAAGACTATAGCTTTCCCTAAACGGTATCAAACTGATATGGAAAGTATATTGGTAGACAACACGGATATCAGATGGCAGGAGGCTATACCTTTGATGAAAGAAAGGTACGCCAAAGAGGATGGAAGCCTGCCCGAAGACTTCACAGAGGATGCACGCCTAAAATCCAAGCTCACTTACTGTAAAACCTAACTGAAGCAGAAGAATCTTAGGTCCATGTTATAAACATGCACACCCGGATCTACTGCTGATATGCATTATAGGGTTGTCATTCACTTTATATACTTACACTAATAGTATCTTGGATTATTTGTACTCTTTATTTGCTCGTTTGACACCTTATTTGCAGGAATTACGGGAGAGACACGCTAAATGTGCTTAATGCACTAATTGCATCTAATGACCATTCAATGCGTCATTCTTACATAACCTCCATATATATGACATGTATCACTCTAAGACTCATTATGCACACTAAATATAAGTTATAAATTATATCCAGAGCCTATGAACACTCGATTAGTGCCACTACAAGTGCATTAGTCGTGTTTTACGTGTTCTTCAGGCCCCAACTTCACAGTACTATTAAGAGGTGAGATATTGGTGCTATGACTTAGCTTGAAAAACAAGAATTGCTTAGAACTACCAGCTCAATCCGTCTGGAGTGATAAAACAAGGATTAGACTATTTCCGCATTTAAATAAAAACCTGGTGCCCCAAGATTTTGATTTGGGCCCGGTTGGTAGGCGATTTTTTAGTTAAAAATAATGTATATGTCACTGCTTTTAGGTCTCGGGCCAGTTGTAGCATATTAAATTACAAGAAGAGAGAAGAGAAATGATAGTACATTACATGATCAATTGTATAATTTAGAGGGCTATATGGATCAAACAGAGACACAAATGATGATAATTTTTGTTTGTTTACACAATTTTTTACAATTTACATCGAGCTGAAGTTCCGTTCTATTTTTAGAGTTTTGATTCGTCATTGATATTTTACATTTTATCGAATTCCTTTTGTATTTTTATTGCTATTTTGGGGGGCGGGGATTGGGCCCATTGATTGGGCATTAAATTGTTCTGTTATGTTATATATTTGTTTTTAAAAACCCCCAATATGTCCAGTTTTTGTATACACAATTTCGTGTGACTCGTGACTCCGTGAGTAGTGACTCGTGACTCGGGGAGTCGTGAGTGATGCGTGACTCTCGATTATTTTTGTATTTTTTTTGTATGTATTGTAGTAGGCACCTTGGTCCAAAGTAGCTATATACATATGAGCTTCAGTTTCGAGTCTTTTGACTTTTGTGCTGGATTGATTTCCTTTCGTTCTATACCATAGTGTCCTTCTCTTGGGTTTGCGGCGGCTTGCGCCTTGCAGAGTTGCAGTGACCTCTTGTGTGCAGTCTGCAGTTCATACTTCGCTTTTTAATAAAATAGAAAACCCGGATCATCGAGTGCTACATATGTATGATTGATTGAATATAAAAATATATATTACTAAATCTGTCACTATATATTTATCTATATCTGAATGGTTAAGTTGAGCGCATCAACGCTACTTCTGCAGACTGCAAGTTGCTTTGTTTTTGGTTTGTATGCAGCATAGTGAAGGGCAACTGCGTTGCCCACGGAGGCTCAGTCCTCAGACACGCCGTGAGGCGTGATGATGGAACTGGGAATATGTATGTATTTATAGCGAGTTAGCGTTCATAGTGCATAGGACAAGAGTTTCATGTTGTTTATGAACATTAAACATACAGCAACCGCACAATATATTACATATCTGATAATGTGCTGTTAAAACCTCTAGGCTTAGTTGGTTTTAGTCGATTCGATAGGGCACTCAGTGAAGACACTTTAATAGAAATTATTTGACTGAATATTGGGAGACGTTGAAATCTAGGGGGTTGACTTAGGAGATATACAGATGCCATTGATCTATTCAACAGTGCACGGGCCAGCGGAAGACGATATGAGAATTGATCCGTCTGGAATTCTACCAGCTTTATAATATATTGACTTCATCAGATGTGTGGTGAAGACCAAAATGTGCATGTGCAGGCCCGATAAATTTAAAGGTGTTCAATTTGATGGTGTTTAAGTTTGAATGCACAATTGCACATGTCAGAACCGTGAACTATTGCAATGTTCGATCGCATTCGGATGTTATTTGAGCATAGCCCTTTTAATTAGACAATACTATGATTTGAGCAAATTCATCAAACTAAATATTACAGTGAGGCTCGTGGGACAGGCTGACAGGGCGTCACTGACTCACTGTCTATGTTTTCTAAATACTGATAAACATTTTGTACTGAGAAGCCAGAGGAAATATATATTTTTGACCCTTTTGTAGTGCAAAGCAATGAACATATTGCATTTGTGTACGTGACTCTCTCTTTATAATATGTTGCAATACATAGCCTTGTACTGTGTACTGATACTTCATGACAGTTTCTTGTTATTTCTATTCATATTTCCGTATTTATTTAGTTGGTACTTGATAGTTGATTCTCATCAATTGGAGGTACTGTATCAGTGTATGAATGCTCAGACCTTCGGCCTCTGGAAGCCAGTCCCTCGTTTTCTGAAACGCAGTATTTACGTTTACCCTCTCTCTCTTTCTCTCTCTCGCTCCATTTCTTTCTCTCTCTTGTGTGTAGGAAGAGTCGAAGACTTGTAACAGGGGCGGGAACTTGGGAAGTTGTGTCTCGCAGTTCACACACTTTTAAAAAGAGGCCGTGTGAATACTAATATTCTACTATGGCCTCGTTGATGTCCCTATCCAAGGCATTTTCTCCCAAATATGTAAACCCCTGGGCGGCTGGGCCCTGTGGTCAAAAGTCGAAACCCAGGCCCACAAGATTCCGAGATTTTTATTCCGAGATTTTGACTCATTTTGTTACAATTACAAAAGGGTTTTAGATATAAATATTTATTTATTTAAAAACAAAACTAAAAACAAACCCCATTTCTCGGATCAAAAACATATGTAATTATTACTCCACACACAACTGGTTATTTTTGGAAATCCAAAACCCTTGAGCGATATGACCAAATATAGCAATAGGGCGTGTTCAGGTGTTTTTATTGGGTAAAAACCCAATATGCAATTTATTCCATTTCGGCTTTTCCACATATGTATGTATGTATGAATCCCGACCCAGTGGCCTGTGCCCGGAGGACGAACTTTCTACAGTTGTAGCGTGAGAGAGTACCGTACTACTGGGTAGCCGGTAGTGGCCGCGGGTTACTTAGCATAAATAGTGAAATATTTGATCAAGGGTAATTACCACTCTCCTGTATAGTTTGATATTTGTAATTTTGTATAAGAGATTGCAGTGTTTCTTATTTTGTTCTGATACTGATCGTTCGGCCAGGCTTGTGAGGTAGAAAGAGTTCTTTGCATATATATATACAATAGACCGCATATCACCCACTCCACAGAAGCGCGCCAGTACAGTTTATAATTAAAATTATAATCGTACCACTTTAAACTAAACACCATGCCGTACGAACACAATGTACCCGTCTTCGAGATCGCCTGGGAAGTCGCCAACAAAGTTGGTGGTATATACACAGTCATTGCGACCAAAGCTGGTGTGTCTGTGAAGGAGCTAGGAGATCGCTACTTTTGTATTGGACTGGTGAATCACACTCAGATTGAGACTGAAGTTGACCAACATGATCTCAAGAATGCGAATGTTATGGCGGCCGTAGAGTCTATCCGATCACAGGTATGTTCTAACATGCAGACAGGTATATGCATATTTTTGCCGTACGTATATATGTATATATATATATATATATATATATGTGTGTGTGTGTGTGTGTGTGTGTGTGTGTGTGTGTGTGTGTGTACATATATATATGTTATATACTGTATGTGTGTGTGCATTGTGAAAGCAGTTTTGTTGATACACTATGATGTAGTATCTGTGACTGATCCGTTTGCGTGTATTGAGTGTATGTTTTCTGCCCAGTGTACTTTATGATTATACTATCAGTCATAGATCGAATTGTGTCGTGTATGTTTTGCAAATCGGTGTATACGAAGGTTCTACTTACTAATAAAATAGGGTGCTACTTTTTAATACCTTTCGAATGTATCAATTTCTGTGCTGCAATCATATTTGCTTTGTATGATTAATATATAGCTCTGGTTGCAGATATTAATTGCTGTCGTTATTTATTTTTTCAAAATCAGTATATCAAACACGTACACATACGCGTGCGCACAGAAACGCATGCATATTATTAAGTAGGCGTGTATGAATTCTATACATATATGTATGTATGAATGTATATGTATTTATGTATACATGCATGTATGTATGTATATATTTTTATACATAGATGTTTATACATACATATATATATATATATCATACATGCATACATGCACACATACAGTGTATAAGTATATAAGTAGTATACGTTGTCGTACTAGGGTCAGTACATATGTATTTTTCTTAGCGAAAGGGGCCCTAGATAGCTGTGCATCGTCTGATTTCTTTTTTATAGTTTCTGCTGCCATTGAGTCAGTAGCAACTGGGAACTCAAAATGTGCGCATACGTCAACTTTTCTGGATGCCCTGTATGCAACATTGTTATGAGCATGTACACTTAAAAGTTGATTGTTTTGGTTATTTAAATATATAACAGCTGTGTGGAACATGTCCAGAACTTCACTAAACGTACCAATGAATTAAGTATGTTTCTCACGGATTGGTCTTTACTAAAAAGCGTCAGTGCATGCTTTATGTCGTCTGGCGTCTGGTCACAGGCCAAACGATCGATAGTACAAGCGATTGACTTATACACCCTTGAGTGCAATAATCGGGTTACAGTCTATAGGTAGTGAATCAACTCTCACACATAATAGAATCTGTAGGGTGAGGTATGTGTGTATTGTCCATACCTATGTCTATAAATAGACCTTCTTTACGCATTGATGAACTCTCCCACTCTGTGTAGAGCACAAACGGGGTTTTCTCACACATCGATAAACTTCGTTTTGTAGGGCATAAACGTGGTCACCGGGCGATGGCTGGTCGACGGATACCCCCAATGTATCTTGTTTGATCTGGCAACCGCCGGCTACAAACTGAACGATTGGAAGTACGATTTATTCGAAAAGTGCAAGATTGAGTTGCCCGACAATGATCTTGAGACCAACGATGCTACACTCTTCGGAAATTTGACCGTGCAATTCCTGCAACATGTATCTGAGAATGGCGCCAAAGGTACGTCTGTACTAAGTGTGTTTGCAGCGGTACTTGATATGGGATGGGTAATGTAGATTGAATTGAATTATATATATATGTATATGTATATATCTTGCATCGGTTGTTGATATGGGCTGTGCTATGTAGATTGAAGCTTTCTAGAGAAGTACAATTCCGAGTGTATTGAGGATGCTTGCAGCGGTGTTTGACGTGGGTTGTGCTATATTTATTGAAATGTCCTCCTCGGATCATCCTCTGACTCTGTACTTGATATTATTCAGCAGTTGGGCTTGCGCTCTATACGTTTTACAACTTTACGGTCAGGTTTCTAGGTATTTTAGTCATATACCACATAATCACACCTACGCATTCACATTAACGTACTTCTCCATTCGCAACGTTTTTGCGATTGTGTTCAAAATTATCTTTGTCGTATAATATGATCGCTCCTACGCATTCACATTTACGTACTTCTCCATTCGCAACGTTTTTGTATTCATTTGTGTATCCCTGTACTTTGGTCAGTCACAGACCATAGCACTCCGCCGACGTATTCACGTTTACGTACTTCTGCTTCGGCTTTCACAGACGGCGAGTTCCAGGCTATCGCGCACTTCCACGAGTGGTTGGTAGGCGTAGGGCTGATTCTAGCACGCACAAACAACGTGAATGTTGCGACCCTATTCACAACTCACGCCACCTTGCTCGGCCGATACCTCTGCGCCGGAAATGTGGACATGTACAACAACCTCAGTACATTCGACTGTGATGCTGAGGCGGGGAAGAGAGGTGTGTGTGCGTTGAGATGCAGGTTTGTGTGTTTAGGTGTACTATACAGCAACAGATAAGTGAGAATGAATAGTTGTACATGTATGTAGAGAGAGAGTGCTCTTGAGACATGTACCACATATGTATATGTGTATTTATACATATCTACATCATTGCTACAATATTTGGGCAGCCACCATCGCACGCGTACACACTTGTTCACCATCATCAGCTGTGCTTATGGGGGGCTCATATGATCCCAGGCACATGCATCGGTATCCTACAACACATACTGGCATATATTGATGTCTCAATACATTGATATATATATAGTGTATATAGTTGTTTTTCTATTTTGATATATTGTGTATATAGGTGTATATAGTTGTTTGTTATCGTGATATATACTTCTCTATATATATACCCATATCTCAAGCACCGTTAAACGTCATAAAGCATACCATACAGTATGATTATCGTCACGCATGCAATAGCATCCACCACCGTCACTGCATCTAGCAAGAGGCTGCCCATGGGGCACTCGCGTTAATGCACGCAGGTTGTATTCCTGTACTTATTTGTTTATCTACATGTGTGTGTGGTGTGTGTGTGATGTGCATGTGTATGTGGACATATATATATGTATGATTTGTTGTCTCGTGCACTACAGTATACTTATAAGTCCTACCCTTTATACGAACACATAGGTGACTATCACTGGTACTGCTGCAAGCGTGCCGTCACACACCATATCCATATCCACGTGTGTTCACCATCGCCAATAGTATTACTGTACATGCTGAATCATGCATATATATATATGTGTGTGTGTATGTATATGTATATTTCATTTTCTTTGTATATATATATATCATCGTTCCGATTCTCTGTCCCTCTACTGAATATCCGCGATCCCGATGCACCCATTCCAGGTATCTACCACCGTTACTGCATTGAGCGTGCCGCCACACACTGTGCGCACGTGTTCACCACAGTGAGTGACATTACTGGGGATGAAGCCACCCATCTGCTCAAGCGTAAGCCCGATGTACTCACACCCAACGGACTCAATGTAAAGAAGTTTGCGGCTCTGCACGAGTTCCAGAACTTGCACCAGCAGTCCAAGGCTGTGATTCAACAGTTTGTACGCGGACATTTCCATGGGTATGTGTGGATGTGTGTGTGTAGGGTTGTATTTGTGTGTTCATGTGCTATTCTTTGGATGACTATGGGAGTGTATGTATAGATGTGTGTATGTGGGGTTGTATGTGTATCATGTTTTATACTTTGTATGACCATGAAAGTGTATGCCACGCATATAACTGTGTAAAGCATGTGGACTTCTCACGCCTGTTTTGTATATATGTGCAGTTTGCTATATGTATTCACAAACTGGCTGCTTGTGTACATACGCTTGTTTTGTGTATGTGTGGGTACGATAGCTCTATGGCCATACCATATACTGTTTGTCGCTTCCAAATAACTTACATCTTAGCAAAGTCGTGGCGTCTAGTCGATAGAGCATGATACACCTCACTCTAATAAGGGTTTGTCCACAGACGTACTACTATCACCATGTCACTCCCCCTTCCCCCCAAATAGCCTGACGCCCCACTCTTAACCCCTAATTAATACCTATCCTAACCTGCGCCCACTCCTCACAGCATGCTGGACTTTGACATGGACAAGACACTGTTCTTCTTCCTTGCTGGCCGATACGAGTTCCGTAACAAAGGGTGCGATGTGTTCATCGAGGCGCTCGCACGTCTCAACTACGAGCTACAGGAAATGGGCAGTGACAAGACGGTTGTCGCCTTCATTGTCATGTCAGGCAAGGTCACTTCCTTCAATGTAGATGCCTTGGAGGGTCAGGTGAGTTATGCATCTATCTATATATATATATTCGTGTATGTATGCGTGTGTGCGTGTGTGACTCTCGAATATTAAGGTATGTACGAGTATGTGTATATCTGTATACTGTCACTACTCTCTCAGAGCTGCATATGATTGGCAGTGACAAGCCGGATGGCGCACTTCACGCTACTTCTCATGTTGTGCATGCGTTTTGAGTCCCAAATGCGAATTGATTATTATGATTGTACTGGTGGCCAAGTTTGATGGAAGTATGCTAACAGTCCTCACATTGTATCTTGCGGTGTCGTACCTCAGGCCGTCGTATCACTGATATAGCCTAACCTTCATTAATATAGCCATAGCTGTACCTCTAACCTCCGATTTTCCTTCTGCGCACACCAGCCGCGACGCCTATCTTGTCACGGGCATAACCTGACTGACGTTGATCGATGCTCACTTATCCCGTGTTGAATCTGAATTGAGCTCAGTGTGTAATCTAAAACGTATTGCTCCCATATATAACATCCGTTCACTTCTCCGTATACACACCGTTCTCTGCACCCAGGCAATTGCGAAGCAAGTTGAGGCGGCGGTAGAGAAGGTTAAAGGTAGTATCGGAGTCAAGCTGTTGAAGGTCGCAGACGAGGGCCGCATCCCCGACGATAACGACATCCACTTAGATAAGAGGGACATTATGGAGCTCAAGAAGGCTATTTATAGTTCACGACGAAAGAACCTGCCCCCAGTGGTGACACACGATCTAGTCGACGATAAGAACGATGAGGTGTGTGACTTTGTGGTTGCTGGGCATATATATATATATATATGGTTGTCGTGGGAGTATTGCAGACATTCCTTCCAGCGTCCAACGATGGGATGAATGCATGCGCTGTAATTTATATATCCACTTTACTAAAAAAAAATCGATAAGAGTTCACCTCATATTGTCTGTCTCTGCCAATCCCTGTATACATCCATATAATATACGAATCCTTAACGTAGGAGAAATTTTAGGTACAGCAAACTTGTGTATGTTGTTTACCTTGATGAGTATTGTACTCGTCAGGTGTAGAGAACTACCGTACAATCTGTCATTCGCGACGGTTTGTGTGATAACAATTTCTGCTAAATTACCTTTCCACCCTTGAGACGGAATATGCAGTTTATGTTTTCAGGAGGTATTGTATAATTTTATATGAAATCGCTCCAATACACTCCTCTACCCCGATACCATTGAGAGCTCATACTGGTATCAGGAAATGCTTATTACACGACCAACTGAAGTCTCAGAACCCAATGCCTCTCAATCCCTTGACACATCTAATCTCATCCTCAACCCCAACCCCAACCTCGATACCTCCCATTACCAGGTACTCGAGAACCTCCGCAGGGTCAAGCTATTCAACAACAAGCACGACCGCGTCAAGATGATCTTCCACCCGCAGTTCCTATCCTCGACCTCCCCCATCCTGCCCTTAGACTACGACGGCTTTGTGCGTGGCTGTCATCTGGGTGTGTTCCCGTCGTATTATGAGCCCTGGGGCTACACCCCGGCCGAGTGCACGGTAATGGGTGTACCGTCTATCACCAGTAACTTGGCTGGGTTCGGAGGCTTCATCGAGCACCACGTACCGAACTTCAACCACCACGGTACATTTGTGGTCGATCGACGGTTCAAGAGTGCGGACGAGAGTGTCAACCAGCTTAAGGACTACATGAAGGTACGGTGCAGTGTTTAGGGTTTAAAAAAATCTTTTATTTAGGGTTATTAGGTGAATGTACGGTGCAAGGTTTAAGGTTTGGGTTTATTTCCATTGGAGTGTTATGGTGCATATGGTTGGGGTCATGCCTTTTTTTGTAGATGTCCGTTGCTCCATACACTCCTCAGTCGTATCCTGTGCTTGTGACAGCATCGCCGCCTGGTCTCACAGCGCAAACTTACATCCGATATTTTCTTGTAAGCAACTCACCTCAAATATATATATATATATATCATTTCGTACAATCATCTCAAATACATAATACATATACGTTACTTTATTGTAATCATATTGCAGACAAATTTTGTGATAACCAACTCACCTCAAATGCAGATAACACATACATATACATTCTTCCTTGCAATCATCTCACTTACACATATATTCCGTATTTATCTACACCATATTCACACTCAACAGGACTTCTGCATAATGGATCGGCGCGAGCGCATAGTCCTGCGTAACCGTGTCGAGCGGTTGTCGGATCTGCTGGACTGGAAGAGTCTGGGTGACTACTACCGCTATGCACGACAACTAGCGCTACACCACAAGTACAACTATCCCCTGGAAGGACCACCCACCATTGAGAACAGAAACTTCGGAGATAGTGAGTACTGTGTCTGTATGTGCATGGATATGTATACCTTCGCATGTGTACAGCCATGTACAAGTGCTGTGTCTGTGTCTGTATGTGCATGAATATGTATATCTTCGCATGTGTATAATTATGTATATTTCGTATGTGTTATGTACAAGTGCTGTGTCTGTATGTGCATGGATACATATATATATATATATATATATATATCTTCGCATGTGTATAGTTATGTATAAGTGCTGTGTCTGTGTCTGTATGTGCATGGATATGTATATGTACGCATGTGTATAGCTATGTATTTTAAATTGTTCTCTCATTTCCCTTTCTCTCTCCCTGTAGCTTCCGGAAAGCTGCCAGAAGAGCTCAAGGACAAAGACGGCAACGACAAAATCACACTCGAAGAGTTGCGCGATATGATGGCGAAGATGATGAGAAGAGGATCGATGGGTTGAAACCCTGTAACCCAACCTCAGCGACACTACATTTCTCTGTCCCAGCCGTAATTAGTCGTATCAAGTATTTAAGAAATCCTTTGGATTAGGATGTACCAATAAAAAAGTTTGCCGTAGTACAACACGGGGTTCCGAGATGACAGTCGCCGCGGGCAGACTGAACTGATAGAGACGGGGCAGGTAGATACGATTTCTCTAGGCATGTCACTTACGTATATATGACTCCAAGTTTTAAAGTGATGGGTTCACTATAGAGTATAGCTAGCGTATATAGCCATAGCTCTTACCCCTGATTAATCAATAGGTGCTCGAATTATGGGCACGAGGCTCGTTAAGGGCTGGTTACATGCTCGAACTGAAGATGAAAGACAGCCTTATCCACAGTTCCACACCTGCGGGGGAGGGGGGAGAGTTGCTGTGTCAACCCGGGTTTTTTTAATAACGGAAACGATCCGCACGGACTGGGTACTACTGTATTTGCTCGCTTCACTGCTGCACGTACCCTAGATCCCACTTGCCTATGAGAACTGCTACTTACATATTTATGTCGCGCAAGTGTAACGCTTTAGATATCTGTGGGCCACCCTACACACATCGATCATTCAGGCAAACCTTCTACATTGCTTTATGGCTGTTATACTCTTGGTATGCAATATATTCGTACAATTGTTTGGTAGACAGTCTGATGATACTACATAAGTAACAATTGGTCTGTACGAAATTCGAGCTAGCACACAGGGGAACGAGAAAGGAGGATAGGAGCCATCTTTGGGGCTCGACGCCCCTCGATATTAGTCTTAATAATATGTTCTATCTATTTTGTAGGCAAGAGTATATTCTTTGCCTTTGGTGTGTTGCAAAAGTGCCCTGTACTCTACGCTGATTCAGTAGATGTATATATATATATATATGTGTGTGTGTGTATGTGTGCCT